GGGGACGGCATGGCCAGATGCCGTGGTATCTCCCCGCATCTCATGGCTCCCTCTTCTTCTCTCAGTGCGCCCCCACCCCCCCCGGGGCCTCGCACGTGCCTCGGGCCACGATTGTGCTCTGCCAGCCCCCCTCGTGGCCGCCCCCGAGCACGGGCGGTCTCTGCCGGCGGGCACGGGCCGGCCTCGGCTTGGGGGCCCGTCTTGGCCCGGTCGACGTGATCGGTGGCGCCGGGCTCGATCCGCTTCGCTTGCGATGCTCCGACGCTTCGATGCGGCCCGATGCCTGCGCGCGTTTCGAGCCCGACTCCGTGCCGGTGCGGCCCGACGCGGCGCGGGCCCCGATCTCTTCTCGATCCGGTGCCGGCTGAGCTTGCAGGACCGTGCGAGGGCCAGGGCTGCTCGGAGGCGGCCCGGGTTGGCCTCAGCACGGCCCCCCACTGTCACGGGATGAAAAACCACCCGGACCCAACAATTGGGCGCTTACTCAACGGCCATGGGCGTTTTACTAAACAGCCCTGCCCTGTCTGCATGATTCCTTCTCTGGGTGCGTCTACTGAACAGCTTCGCGTGCCCAGACCCCCGACGTCATGATTTGTTTCATAACGTCGACCCTCAAGGGTCTCTACCCATTCTCCTGGACCGGTTTTTCATCCCGAGTCGTTTTCGGACGGTCCCGAGGCCCGGCAAGGGCCCACAGAGACCGAAAATTTGGAACAGCCTCCCGTCATTCGGAGGTGGATAGACCTCATACCCTGACACGTCGATTAAGGAATTGGCCGTTTTCGGCTCGCGAGAGGGCGTCGCGGCCGTCATCCTTGCGGGTCCAGGTCCGTCGGTTTTGGTCCCAGGCCGTCTTCACTAAGGGAAGGTTTATTAAAGGGAGGTTTGTCCACCGCCGAGTCATGATGGCTTCATTGCCCGAGGGGGCCTGGGTGTCGGGGTGATCCTACTGGGGGTGGACTTGCTGCCCTCTACACTGGGCCTAAGTCGGGCATGTCCAGGGGGAATGCTCCAAGATAGTCCAAATATAGTCTCGTCCCGCCGAAGTCAAAAATAGCCCCAAATATTCAAAAATAGCCAAACATAGTCCAAACATAGTCCAAACATAGTCTATAGTCCCGCCGAGAAAATCCCCTCTATGTAGGGGCACACGCACTGGGCCGCCATGGGGCGGCCTCGACACCCCCGGGCGCCGGGGCGTCGGGGGTCGGGGCGCTGGGGCGGCCGAGGGCGGCCGCGCCGGCGGAGGCCCCGCGGCCAGGGCTGCGTGGCCCCCCCTCCTGGCCGGCCGGGTTCCGCGGAGGCGGTGGGGCGCGTGCCTTCGGCAGGAGGAGCAGAATGGCGCCCTCGAGGGCGCGAAGGTCTTCGCGCCCTCGCGCTTCGCGGTGTTCGGCTCCGATTTGCCTTCTCCTCCTCCTCCTTCTCCTCCTCCTCCTCCTCCTCCTCCTCCTCCTCCTCTTCTCCCCTTGGGGAGGCGGCGCGAGGGCGCGAAGTTGTTCGCGCTCTTCGCGCTTCGCGCGGCACGAGGTCGTGATTCGGCTGGCCTGGTTATCGGATGCGGTCGTGATGGGCTTGTTTTCCCCCACCACCACCACCACCAGAAGTTGGAGGGGGGAAGGAGGAGGAGGAGGAGGAGGAGGAGGAGGAGGAGGAGGAGGAGGAGAGGAGGAGGAGGAGTGGGGGAGGAGGAGGAGGAGGGGAGGAGGAGGAGGAGGAGGAGGAGGAGGGGGAGGAGGAGGAGGAGGAGGAGGAGGAGGAGGAGGAGGGGGAGGAGGACCCCCTGCCCCTCCATCTCATGATGGTGGTGGTGGTGGAAAACAGGCCCATCAGGTCGGGCGCGTCCCTCGGCAGGAGGAACATCCAAAAACAGTCAAGACATAGTATGTTGGGACGATCTTGTTTTCCTATGTTTGACTAGTGTTGCCTATCTTTTGGGGTCTGTTTTATCTTTCGTCCCAAATCCGCCTGCAGGGGGGCATGCCCGACCCAAGCCTGGGAGTCACGTCTGGGAGCTGCCTCCCCCACCCCCCGCCGATTTTCGGGCCGAGGCTTGGGAGCTGCCTCGCGGCCATGCTGGGCCGACGGCAGGAGTGGCCCTTCGCCGGAGGGACCTTTGGTCCCAGACCCCTCTGGCAATGAAAAAATCGCATCGGGAAGAGGAGGAGAAGGAGGAGGAGGAGGAGGAGGAGGAGGAGGAGGAGGAGAGAGAGCCGTCGACAGAAAGTTTTCCCTATTTCCGGCCTCAGGAGGCCCTTGCCGGCCCTCGGGACCGTCAACAAAACGTTTCGGGACGATAACCCGGTCCCGGGGAAGGGGTCGAGACCTCGGGGGTCAACGTAATGATAACAATCGTGACGTCGGGGGTCTGGGGTGCGGGCCCACTGGGATCCCCCGATCGCCGAGTGCGATGCGGTAGTGCCGTCTTGCGCGCCGGGGTTTCGCCCCCGCGCGGCTCCCCGGGAGCCGCGCGCCAGAGGTCACTCTGGCCCAACATCGTAGGTCGCTCTTGCGTGTAGCCGATGGGGGCTCGCGGCACGGCCCTGCCTGGCGCTGGCCCGGGGCAGCCCGTCCCATGGTAGAGGCCGCCGCAGGTGCGGAGCCCCAAGCCCTGCCCAGACAGGATGTCGCTCCTGTTCGACGTCTTCGACCTGAACAAGGAGAGGGAGGTCGCTTTCGACGAGTGCTTCATCATGCTGCGGCGTGCGATGGCCGGCCTCCGTAAGATGGTCGGCATCCTCACGCCGCCCGAGAAGGTCATCCACAACATGGTCAAGCAGGTCGCCGGCGGGGCGCTGAGTGGGGCAGGGCGGAAACTTCCCCCCTTTCCTCCTCCTCCTCCTCCTCCTCCTCCTCCTCAGCATCGTCATCGTCATCGTCATCATTATCGTCATCGTCATCGTCATCGTCATCATCATCATCATGATCATCAGCATCATCATCATCATCATCATCATCATCATCATCATCATCATCATCATCATCATCATCATCATCATCATCATCATCATCGTCATCGTCATCGTCATCGTCATCGTCATCGTCATCGTCATCCCTCTTCCTCCTCCTCCTCCTCCTGCAGCGTCGCGGCCTGGCGCGATCACCTCGGCCTGGGTCGGGAGCTGCCGCCCGCACGCCGCGGGGGTGCGCCGTGAAGTGAGGCCCGGGGTGCGCCTCGCGGGTCTCCGCCGGCGGAGGCCGGCGGAAGGCTGGCGGAAGCCTCTGCGTTGTTCGGTTCAAGGCTTCAGCTCGCAGGAGAAGATCGACTGGACGTAGGAGTGACCTTTCGCAGGAGTGACCTTTGGTGCGGGCAGAGGTGGGTCCCTAGATGGCCGAAAACGAAGCAGCTGCAGCGGCTGGCGCGCCCAGGCTTGGTCCCCCCGCGACCCCCAAAAAGCCGCGCACCAAAGGTCACTCTTACCCAGGGTCACTCTTGCGTATAGCCGAAAAGAAGAAGACAAAAATCAGCCACGCGCACAAGGGGGGGTGGGGGGAGAGGGGGGGGCTTCTTAGGAAGAACCCCTGTTTCTTTGAAGGCGCGGGCCCTGTCTATAGATGTAAGGCCAGCACTTTCTAAGAGGCAGCCTCCTTCTAAGAAGCCCTCCCCCCTCCCTCCACCCCTGTGTGCGCGCCGCCAACAAAACGCTACAAACATAAACTTTTGGCGCTCCGCGCGGAGCGCGCCAGGGGGGGCGCCAGAGGCGCCGCCGGGGGGGTCCCAGCGCAGATCCGAGAAGTCCGCGCGGAGCGCCAAAAGTTTATGTTTATGGCGTTTTTTCTTCTTCAATTATCGGCCGCCCCCTCTCCGAGTTGGGTCGCAATGCCAAGGCCGACCGTGCACAATGGCTTCCGTGCACCGTCTGTCAGCGCCGCCGATGGCCACCATGTCGTCGCTTACGGCGGTGGGCACCTTCGTCTTCGCAGCCGTGGCCAACCACGTTTTTGCCGCTGTGGACAGCCACGCCTCTGGGTCCGCAACCATCGGAGCGAAGGTTCTGATCGACTACACGTTTGAGCACTACTGTCGCGACGATGGCATTGTGCAGTCCTATTTGTCGCTCCGTGTCGGTAAGGTGAGCGCTGACCAGCGGTACGACTGCTCTGAACTTCACGTGCTGCGAGCAAAACTAGTTCGAGCTACTGGGAGGAGCAAGGGCACAGGGGGAGGTGCAGCGCCTTCGGCGGGTACTACGCGCGGTGCGTCTCAGATGTTTCTCATGCTCCTCAGTTGCCGCCGTCGCTTCGCCATGGAACCGTCAACAGCTGTCACGCACGTTGCCTTCCTAGCTGTCGCTGCTGGGCATTCTATCACTCACGACGGGCCCTTTCTTCCTGGTGATCGGCTGAGCTCAGGCTGCTGGGAAGGCTCTGGCCTGCAACAAGCCGCTGCGCCTCGGGAGAGCGCTGGCTCACGGCACTTCTCCCTGCGTGCCCGTGATGGCTGGGCAGCGCACAGACCGCCTGCAGTGACCTCTTCTGGCCCGCCGCCCTTGCAGGGTGCGCCTCCATCGTGCCCCTTCGGCGCCCTCCCTCCCCCTCGCGGCAAGTTCCCGAAAGCGGGTCCTCGGGGCGCTCCTGGGGCTGCCACGAGCTCCAGCGCTTGACCAAGGAGCAAGAAGTGCGATCCGCCTCCGACCGCGCAGCCGGGGCAAAGTTCCTCCTCCTCACTCGCACGTCGTCGTTCGCGGATATGAAAGTACAGCGCCGTTTTTTAATACATGCTCCGCGTGCGGATCATGCATTAAAAATGCAGGGGATTAGTATTCAAAACAACGATGAGTTCATGCATCAGTTCATTCATACATTAATCATGTGATAAAATCATATAAGTTTAGAAATCCCATGTATTAAAAACTGCCCTGTAGTCTGCAAGTCGCTGCTATTCGGTGCTGCGGGATGACCACCCACACCCTGGAGGGGGCCACGGGCGGCTCTCCTGCACGGCCGCCTCCGCAGAGGCGGGGGCACGTGAGGGCGGGGCTGGGGGATCCGCAAGACAAGCGCTTTCGTGACCCAGCTCTGCAACCCCCGATTGCGCAGCCTCCGAGGGTCACCATTCTCGATGTGAGTAGCCATGCCGTGCGCAGCATGTCGGTTGATTGTTACACCAGGCCCTTCACGAAGCGTCCGTCCTGAAAGCGCATTGGGCGCAGTGCTGCGACAAAAAGGAAGGCTGGCGGAAGCCGTCGGATGTGAAACATGCGCCCCCGATGGCCACGCTTCTGGGTTCAGGGTTCCCGGAACCCGCCAAATATGCCTTGGGTCCCTCCCCAGGTCCTCGCCGGATGCCCCTCGGACGCCCAGGCGCAGCTTGGGCCGGGGACGGGGCCGCGCGCCTCGCCAGAGGCCCCTCGACGGGAGGACCCCAGTGGCGCCGAGAAGCCAGGGACCGCCGCCCAGAAGGCAAAAAAGGCCCCCCGCTCCCTTGGAGCCAGCTGGGCAGGACGGGGGGCAAGGCAGAGGCAGAGCTCAAGTCCACGCGGTCTGGTGTGTTCACGCAGCCGCTGCGAGAGGAGGAAGTGGGGGGGGGGGACCGAAAGGAGGCGCGGGCCCAGCCGCGGCGCTCGGCCTCCCCCTCCCCCTCCTCCTCATCCCCCGTCTCCTCCTCCTCCTCCTCCTCCTCCTCCTCCTCCTCCTCCTCCTCCTCCTCACCCTCCTCCTCTTCCCGGGCCACGGCCACGGTCGCCACCATGTGGCCGAGGACAGTCCTGGCCTTCTCGCCGATGTGACTCACACGGCGCACGGTGCCCGCTGGGGGCGCGGGGCCCTCCAGGCCGCGCTCGGCAGCGGAGGTCGGCATGCGCATTGGCCTGCAGCCCTTCTTCGGCCCGGCGGGCTTGCTGGCGAGCGCGCCGAAGCCGGCGCTCAGCCGTCGCCGGTTCCGATTCGTCGGTGTGGCTCGGGACCCAGACGATGTCCCATTTGTCCAGGGTTGGGGCGGCGAGCTGCGTGATCCGGCACCAGAACACCAGAAGTCGGATGCTTCCCCGGCTTCGCAGGCTGCCACAGCGCTTCGAAGACGACGGCGCAGGCCACGGCAGCAGCAGCAGCAGCACGCCCTGCCCGGCCAGGTCGGCACGCTGCTGCGCGAACAGGACGGCATGGACCTCCGCCTGGTAGACCGTCTGATCTGTGCCCAGCAGAGCGCCCCAGACAGTCAGGCGCCCACCCGAGCGCTGTACTCGACGCGACCTTCGGCGCTGATCGCGCCCCACGTCGTACGGCGAATTGAGGTGGCCTCGCCCAGATGGGCCGCCGTGCCGTCGGTGGCCACCGGTCCGGCGAGCCGCGGATGACTCGGCTGCTGCCAACACGCGTCGTAACGCCCTTTGATCCCGGGACATTCCCGACAGGGGTGCGCGTGGCTTCTGCGGGCACCAGGCCGCAGCAGAGGAAGGCGGCTGGAGCGCACTGCACGCATCGATCGGTGAGCTCCTAGGTCAGACCCTGCGCAGCGCGCTCCGCCTGCCGCGCGGGGCGAGCGAGAGAGCGGTGGACCTCGTCCATGTCCGGCGCCCCGCAGGGGCAGCAGCGGCCGTGAAGGTTCTGGGTTCGAGGTTCTGGGTCCGAGCTTCTGGGTTCGTGGTGGTGTTTTGCCTATGTCCGCCGCCGGAGGCCGCTCTCGGACCCATGGGACCGTCAAACACGGATCTGGGCTGAAAAGCTGCACCAGGTGGACCCCAGGAGGGGTCCCGGAACCCATGTTGAGAGGATTTGAGCACGCCCCCCCTCCTTCAGCGGGCGACGAACGGTATAAAATAATGTTTTCCGCTGTCAAAGACGCCTGCCCCCCAGGCGGCTCGAAGGTTTCAGGGCACAACCTTTCCAGCCGCCCAGGGGGCTGGCGTCCTCGATGGCGGAAATTGTTTGTTATACCGCTCTTCGCCCGCCAACTCTTGGCCGATCTTTCCTGGGGTCCCAACCGGTTCAGACCCCCATGGCCGCCTCCAACCGCTCCCCGTGTGTACGCGCAGAGGCGTGCGACCGCGGAGCGGCCGACGCTGGACCTGCCGTCGGGAGGGCGCGATCTCTCCTTGTCGCCCTTCCCTCGGCAGCCACAAGGAAAAAGTAAAGGCCTGCTCCCCTGCACCTTCCAAGCAGGCACCACCACCACCATCATCATCATCATCATCATCATCATCATCATCATCATCAGCAGCAGCAGCAGCATCAGCATCAGCATCATCATTCAATCATCATCACCATCAGCACCATCATCATCGGCGGCGGCGTCGGCGTCGGCGTTGTCGTCGTCTTCGTCATCCTCGTCATCACCAGCATCATCATCACCATCGTCATCATCATCATCATCATCGTCATCATCATCATCATCACCATCGTCATCATCACCATCATCATCATCATCATCATCATCACCATCGTCATCATCATCATCATCATCACCACCATCGTCATCATCGTCGTCGCCATGTTCGCTGTCATGATGCTAAACAGTATCCGAGTCGTCGTCACCACCATCATCTTCATCACAAAAGATACCATCCCCGTCATAATCACCATCACGACCATCATCACCATCATCCTGTTTATCCACGTGTTCAATCTCATAATCGTCACCGCCATCGTCATCCTTACCAGCGTCGTCATCATCATCACCACCATCATATCATCATCACCATCATCAGTATCATCACCATCATCAGCATCACCGTCACCTTCAGCATCATCATCACCTTCATCAGAATCGTCGTCCTAATGATCAGCAGCAGCAGGACCATAGCGCTGACGTGTTGCTCAGGCTCTTGTAGCAGGCGCGGCGTCGGCCTCTCTCTCTCTCTTGCGAGAGCAGGTGGGACCATCGGGCGGGCTTAGCTCAGGAGGGGAAACAACACACAGACACAATGAATCGTCGACTCCCTAGAAAATATAGGGGAAATGCGGAAAGTGGGGGGGAGGCAAAAACCCAGAAAATAAGGGAAAATATGGGGATTCCTGTTAAATGTGTCGATTTATTTGTGTGTCCTAGGGCCCCTTCAAAACAGTGGTTCAGGAGGGGAAGCCTGGCACCGAGGCCTCCATGGAGGCGATGGCAGCCGGCGACGACATCTCCATGATCGACAGGTCGGGGTCGGCTTCCGCTCCGCCTATCTCGTCTCGGACAAGGGGCGCGTGGTCAGCAAGAGCAGCAGCAACGACGAGCAGTACATCCGGGAGTCTGGACCTCGCGGGTCCTTCGCGGTGCAGGAGGACACGGAGATGGCCCATGGAAGATGAAACGCGGTGCTAAGCGCGGTAGGTGAAGCGCGGTACTGAGATGAAGCGCGATGAAGGAAGACCGTCGGAGTTCCTGGAGGAGCGCTGCCAGACGGATCCGGTCAAGGAGCACTCTGGGCTGATCGGGTTCCCCATGGAGTTGAGAACGAGAAGCTCAAAGGAGAAGGCGGTGAAGGACTTCGAGGACGAGGAGGGGGAGAAGCAGAACGAGCAGAGAAAAGCATGCGAGCCGAAGATCGAGGGGGAGAAAGAGAAAGAGGGCAATTAGAAGAAGAAGACCAAGCAGGTCAACGAGGCATACCACGAGTGGGAGCCGCTCAACAAGAACAAGCCGCTGTGGATGCGCAAGTCCAAGAACGTGACCAACGAGGAGTACGCCTCGTTCTACAAATGCTTGCCCAACGACTGCGAGGACCACCTTGACGTGAAGCACTTTTAGCGTAGAGGGCCAACTGGAGTTCCCCGCACTGCTTGGTGCCGCGCCAGGCACCTTTCGACCTGTCCGAGTCCAAGAGGAAGCGCAACAACATCAAGCTATACTTGCGACACGTCTTCATCACCGACGACTACGACAAGCTGATACCCGAGTGGGTGGCTCAGCTTCGTGAAGGGAATGGTTGACTCCGAGGAACTGTCCCTGAGTATCGCCCGTGCGACGCTGCAGCAGAACAAGATCCTGCGCGCGATCAAGAAGAACCTCGTCAAGGAGTGCCTCGAGATGGTCGCGGTGATTGCCGAGAAGAAGACGGATGATTACAACAAGTTCTACGACAAGTTCGGGGAAGTGCCTCGCTGTGGGCGCGCACGAAGATTCCACCAACCGTACCAAGGTCGCGGAGCTCATGCGCTACCACACGAATTCTGCTTGACTTAATTGGTGCTTTGCCCACCTCGCATGACGTCAGCGGCGCCTTGAGGTCAGACTCCGACGGCCCCGAACACCTTTCCCCTCCTGGAGTCTCCTGGCTCTCTGGGAGGGGCCGCGCTCAGGGGGGCCAGCGCCATAGAGCGCCGAGTTATCTATGTTGTACCTGCTCGTGTGATGGTGTGTGTTCGCGTGTCAAGGCACAGAGTTTGTTGCGCGAAAGCTGGTGGTGGCCAACTGACCGAATTCCAGGATGACAACCATTGCCTTGCACTTATATTGTGCATGGAACTCATATGGGGTCGAATCAATGAATGCACGAATGAACGAATGGAACCATAATTCGCGTCATCATCGTCATCATTGTCATCATCAGCATTACCATCACCACCATCAATATCATCACCACCCTCATCACCAGCATCACCATCATCATCGTCACCATCACCATCGTCATCGGCATGGCCATTTCCATCGAGGGTTCGTTGGATCCCCCCCGGGCTGGCGCTCCCATTTTCTGCGCCGCCGAGGTCTGGAAGAGCTCCAAGAAACACCGCGACAACCGGATCGTGCCCGAGGACTGGGGCACCGTCCGTCTTGCCTCCGTTGTCCGCTCTTTTGAGGTAGGTATCTAGCGGCTTCCGGCCCATCCCGCCACCGCCCATGGGTTTTGGTGCCTCTTCGGAGCACTCTCGGGGGCCTCCCTGGAGCAGTTTGGGGGCCTCTCTGGGCCTCCTGGGGGCCCCTCGAGGTCGAGAGCTCGAAATGTCCGCTCGGGTTCCCCATCTGGGCCTCGCCATTTACGCCTCTGGGGCCATTTTGGGCGCCTCATCGGCCGTGTTGGGGCCCTCGTGGGCCAGCTCTGGGCCTTGTTGGGGGGCTTCCTGGGCCGTCGTGGGGCGA